CCCCTATGACCCAGCAATAGCACTGCTAGGAATTTACCCAAGGGATACAGGAGTGCTGATGCATAGGGGCACATGGACCCCAATGATCACTGTAGCATTCTCAATAATAGCCAAAACATGGAAAGAGCCTAAGTGTCCATCAGCTGACGAATGGATCAAGAAGTGGTTTATCTATACCATGGAATACTACATGGCAATGAGAAAGAATGAAATCTGGCCATGTGTAGCAACAGGGATGGACCTTGTGGGTGTTATGCTGAGAGAAATAAGTCAGGCAGAGAAAGACAGATACCATATGCTTTCACTTACAGGAGGATTAGGAAAAACTTAACAGAGGACTATGGGGGAGGAGAAGGGAAAGAATAGTTGGGGAGAGGAAGGGAGGCAAACCATGAGAGACTCCTGAATACTGAGAACAAACTGAGGGCTGATGGGGGTGATGGCATGTAGGGGAAGGGGAGTGATGGGCATGGGGGAGGGCACTTGTTGGGATGAGCACTGGGTGTTATATGGAATCTAAGTTGACTATAAACTATGAAAGAAAAAACCTGCCAGGTCCTATCACAAAGTATAAATATATCAGAATTTGGTTATCAATTCTACTGTTGAGGGACCTTTGGGGTAATTCCAATATAGGCAAACTTAAATAAAGTGGTATAAACATTCTTGTAAAAAAAAAAAAAAGAAGAAGAAGAAGAAGAAGAAGAAGAGATTGCCTCTAGGAGGCAGAAGAACCATAAAGGAACGTTCTGGGGTCTTGATAATGTTCTGTAATCTCTGTATGGGATTAGCACACAGTTTTAGCATACATGTTTATTAAAACTCAGTTGGTGCACACTTGAGATCTGTATGTTTCATTTTATGTAAAATTTACCTCAAAAAAGAAAACTAACTCCTAGCAGAAAAAGGCAGTAAGCTCTTTGATATCAGTCTTACAGTATTTTTTTGGACCAGTATTGTTAGGCAGGGGTACAAAAGCTAAAACAAACAAATGGGATTACATCACACTAAAAAGCTTTTTGCACAGTGAAGGTAATGATCAAAAAAAGGAAAAGGAAAAGGCAACCTACTGAATGGGAAAAGATATTTGCAAATCATACATTTGATTAGGGACTAACATCCAAAATACATAAAGGACTTACACAATATAAAAAAAGATTTTTAATGGGCATAGGACTTAAATACACATTTTTCCAAAGGAGACAAGCAGATCGCCAACGGGCATGTGAAAAGAACATCACTAACTATCAAGGAAATGCAACCCAAAGCCACAATGAGATTTCACCTCACAGTGGTCAGATCAGCTATTATCAAAAAGACAAAAAACAGCAAGTGTTGGTAAGGATGTAGGGAAAGGGCTCTCTTGTGTACTGTTGGTTGGAATGGCAACTATTGTAGCCACTGTGGAAAATAGTATGGAGGTTCATCAAAAATTAAAAATAGAACTACCATACAACTCAGCAATTCCACTTCTGGGTATTTATCTGAAAAGAAAAAAAAAAAAAAAGGATGAAAACACCAACTCAAGGAGATGTATATATCTTCATGTTGACTGCAGCATTGTCTACAATACCCAAGATATGGAAGCAACCCAACTGTCCTTCAACAGTTGAATGGATATAGAAAATGTGAAAAATAGAGGTAGAGACAGAGACAAAGATAGAAATTATAAGAATATTATAGGAACACATACATAAGAATATTACTTGGGGAACCCGAGTGGCTCAGTCAGCTAAGCGTCGGACTCTTGATTTCCGCTCAGGTTGTGATTTCAAGATGCGTGACATAGAGGCCCGCGCTGAGTTCTACACCATCAGCGCGGAGCCCACTTGGTATTCACTCTCTCCCTCTATCTCTGCCCCTCCTCCACTCGTACACACGAGCACAAGCGCTCATGCTCTCTCTCAAAATAAATTTTTTTTTAAAAAAGAGTATTACTTAGTCATGCAAAAAGAGTGAAATCTTGCCATTTGTGACACGGATGGACCTAGAAGGTACTATTCTATGTGATATAAGTCAAAGAAAGCCAAATGCCATATGAGTTCACTGATACGTAGAATTTAAAAAAACAATACAGATTCATAGATACAAGAAATAAAGTATTGGTTACAAGAAGGGGAAGGGGCTTGGGGAGGCAGGCAAAATAGGTGACAAGAATTAATAAGTACAAACTTCCGGCTGTCAAAGAAAGAAGTCAGAGGGATGCACCAGACAGCACAGGGAACATAGTAATATTGTAATAATTCTGTATGGGACAGATTCTGGGGATCTGTCCTAATCTGTCCCCCCTAATCATGGGGATCAGTTCCTAATGTACAAAAATTTCAAATTACTATGATGTATACTTGAAACTAATGGGGTATTATATGTCAATTATTCTTCAATCTAAAAAAAAATCTAGCGGAGGTAATTGCCTTTTAATCAGACAAATTACCTAAAGTAAATTTTCACTGTGACTCCTTCCTATAGAACCTCTAGGCTGTGTGCCCTTAGTAGCTATATATGTAATTATGCCACTACTTAAACCTCTGGACTAACTAGTCAGTTTCATAGCAAGGTCCTTTAAATTTTGATTTAACTTGAGATTTAATTCTTACATGTGGTAAGAATTCCATTCCTCTCTCCTCAAATTAATTAAAGAATTAATAGTTTTTTAAAAATACAAGTATTGAACTCTGGTTAATGATAGACATGCTAAAATATTAAGGGGAGGATAATACAGCCCGCGACTTACTCTGAAATGCCATTAAGAAAGTAAAAATGGAGGGGCGCCTGGGTGGCTCAGTCGGCTGAGTCTCCCACTTGGCTGAGGTCATGATTTCACGGTTCATGAGTCTGAGCCCCAGTCGGGCTCTGTGGTGACAGCTCAGAGCCTGGAGCCGGCTTCAGATTCTGTGTCTAATCTCTCTCTCTGCCCCCCACCCCTCAAAAATAAATAAATGTTAAAAAAATTAAAAAATAAGTAACTTTTTAAAGTAAAAATGGATGGAGGGTTAGACAGAAGAATGTATACACAGACAGATTTGTGATAAAGCAAAGTACTAATGACAGAATTTAGGTGGTAGGTATACAGATTCTCACTTTAAAGTTCTATTTCTCTGCATGTTTGAATTTTTCATAAAATACTGTGTTGAAAGCAAAAATGGAGCAAATGCTTATTAAATCATTGTACTGTGTGCCAAAATCGACTGAGTTACGTAGGGTGTTCAATCCAGGAATAAGGGGGTCACAGGCAGCTGTACTTTATACTCTATTCTTGGGCTTGCTTTATATCATCTCTTCTTCTACCTTGGGGTCAACTCTCTGATTTTCTGCTCCTGTCAAGATGCCCAACCACAGTAAGCATTCCACCCCCTTCCAGGATATACATTATTCCCAGCTTGCTAACAACAGCCAACAACCAACTTATCAGAAATGTGTTTAAAAATACAGACTTCTGAGTAAAGGCATCTGCTTGTCCTAAGAATGAAATGAGATCATATATATAAAATGTTTAGCAATGGCTGACACATAGTAAATACTCAAGAACTACTACTTTATTATATTTTTGAAAAATATTTATATTTTTAAAGAAAGTTCCAAGCCTTCAGTAGGCTTCCTGGGTATCACCCATGTTCATTCTTCACCTTAATTAAAACTTAAATTTCTCCTGAATGTGTTAATAAAGCTGGTTCTCATTCATTCTAGTTTTTGCATTTGTAACAGTATTTAGTCTTTTTAACTATTCTATAAGAGAGGAAAATATGCATTCTAAATAATATTTTTAAGTAATATCCATTAAAGATCACTGGATCTGTCCAGTACCATTTAGATCAGTGCCTCCAAATATTTTACCCCTCCTTCATGGCACTTCTAGAAAATGATGTAGTTGTAGAGGGTTGGAATAGTTTAACCAGGGAGGCTGACCAGGGACTTGGACTATGCCCAGAACCTGACCAGCTCCCCCAAACAGGAATACGGCACTCAGCTCAGAATCCGTTCATGGAGTTTGTGAAGCTATAATCTGTATCTGTGCTAGACCTTACTTTAGATAGTTTAGTCTACATAATTTAGTTCAGAAATCATCTAGCTCATAAACTGCCTACATATATACTCCATCCAGGTTCACAGATTAGAGGTGGTTTTGCACTACATTAGAGACTGCTAAGAATAGCCAGGCTAATGATAATATCCTCACTGAAGCCAAAGTAAGCAAATGTTCATCTCAGACACTGCTGCCATAATGATGTGTTTAATTTAATGATGTTTAATTTTTTTCTTTCGTTTTTGGAAAGAATCCAAAGATTGTCACTTGGCTGTACACCCCATATGACCTTTTAAAATCAAAGATAACACATGTTCTCTAGTAGTAAATTATTCTGCATTAGAGCAAACTTTAGAATAAATCCCATTTTGTCCATATCCCCCGCCTTCCAAATTATGTAACTCAATATGCCTTTCAAGATAAACTGTCCATAATCTTTTATAACTATAAAGTCATATTCTTTATTTTCACAAAGTTTTCTCTTTAGTGCCATTAACTTTTAAAATGAGTAACATGGGGCGCATGGGTGGCTTAGTTGACTAAGCGTCCGACTTTCGCTTAGGTCATGATCTCGCGTTTTGTGGGTTCGAGCCCCGCGTCGGGCTCTGTGCTGACTGCCAGCTCAGAGCCTGGAGCCTGTTTCAGAGTCTGTGACTTCCTCTCTCTCTGACCCTCCCCTGCTCACGCTGTCTCTCTCTCTCTCTCTCTCTAGAAATAAATAAAACATTAAAAAAAATTAAAATAAAATAAAATGAGTAACAATGTCAGGTTACATAACTGCTGTATATACATGCATAATTTTTATTTAAAACTGTTTCCAAGAAAGCTTCAACAAACTTGGATTTACCATACATATACATACTGTATCAAATGTTTGGACATCACTGTTTCAATAGAAAGCCAAATGCTAATAATATATATTAACCAAGACTCTGAAATGACTTGCTATTTTTTAAAAATAACATTAGTAACAGACCTGAGGAGTGGTTGGTTCACTTCCATTAACACTGTCGGGAGATCTTGTGGCTTGGATAGATGCATTCTAAGAAAAACAAAGAAATATCATTAAAAAAGGAACAGAAACTTAAAACTGTTAAGAACAAAGGCCAAGCACCAAGACCTATTAGATACATTTATCAAACAAGATTAGTTCATTTATTAGAATGTTTTCATGCAAGGCAAAACTAGTATGGTGAGTATTTAGAAAATTTATTTTGCTATATGTAACTAAATAGCAAAGATTAGTATGTAGAAACATTTATTTTAAGCTAATCACATTCCTCTCCCCATTATAATGTCCCTAGTTTTTTCCCCCATGACAAAATTAACAAATAGCAAAATTCATTCAAATAGACAACTATCCAGAAAAAGGGGCAAGGTTAAGTGTTCCCTATGACAAAATAATACTCAAAGGTTTTTGGGCTAAGACTTGAAAAACATCTTTGTAACAAGAAATGGAATTCCTCGTTCCTCTGAGACCAGTAGTCTAAATGAAATTGTTATGGCAATTTTCAGAAAACTTCTAATTAAAAATATCTTCTTCCACATACGAAAGCTTTTTGTTTTGTTCCGTGCTATGACGAATGTTCTCAATTAAGTGACATTCTACTGATTAAATCAGACTGGCATAGGTTCCATGATAATGAAGGAGATTCTTTGAGACTCAACATTCTATGCTGCATTCATGATACAGTAACCAAAATGAGAGTCTTAAAAGTAGCTCATGATAAAATAACTTCTAAGTTTTAAACAAAGCATTAGTGTAAAGCCTAGCTACTATGTTTCAGGAACTTTGTAGATTTTTAAATAAGACATTTCCTGTACAGCTGACCAAGATAAGGTCAAATAACTGAATATTCTTTTTTTTAATGTTTATTTTTGACGGGGGGGGGGGGAGTGCAGAGAGAGAGGGAGAGAGAATCCCCTACCCACCCCCTGGATACAGGGCTCGATCCCTCGAACCATGAGATCATGACCTGAGCTGAGATCAGGCATCAGACGTCCAACCAACTGAGCCACCCAGGGACCCCTGAATGTTCTGAAATGCGAGTGGAGACGGCACTCAGCTTTGCAAGTGTCCTCAAATTTCTCAACTCTGATCAGGTATTTGACACTACAAAATTTTTAATTTTGAGGTGTGATAAATGTATTGTGTTATATAGTTTTAGTCATTATCTTTCAGAAATATATACCAAAACATTTAGATGGAATAAGGTTTCTGAAATTCGCTTCAAATAATCCAGCAGAGATGAGGGCGGGGGAGGGAGGTGTGCATGCGTGGGGACAAGTGTGTGGGTATGATAATAAAACAAGACAGCTGATGATACTGGGTAATGGGTATGTGGGGTGGGACCCTCATACAGCTATTGCTACTACTTCCACTTTTGTAATATGTTTGGATTTTCACTAAGAACTACTGAAATACGTTCTCCCTCTCATATAAAAAGAGTTACTAGTCCAAGACACTTCCCTTAGAGTTATATTAGGGAGAAAAGTTGGGCAAACATAACTTTTATCTTCCTGTTCTCTGCCATTTCAAAGAATTACAAGCTGTATATATGGCTATATTTGTGTAACATGACAATGCTTTCTGGCCCTAAAAATATACTACACTATACACTATAAAACATATTTTACAGAGCTCAAGAAGTCTCTCAGTCCATATATGGAAAATTAATAGACAGTTAAATTATGGAGAAAGGAAATGAAATGATTCCATAAAACATTTAAGTCGGGATGAAGAGTGGCAAGAGAGTCTATATTCTATTTTAAGTAAACTACCTGACATGTGATTGTGGTCCATACAAAAAGCTATTCCATAATTGTCTGACCTATAACTTTTAAAAACTTTCCCTCCCTGCAAACATATTTCAATATATGTATTACATCATATATCTAAATAAACACAGCTAGGGAAAGCATTGTCGTGTTACTCTGTACATTTAAATTAGGAATCTATAGAAACAAAGTTAAAGATTTGTCACTACCTGTAATATCTTCATTTTTGCCCAGCAAACTCTCGTTTACTTTTCAACTTTCATATGTAGCTTCTTTTATGAAGTTTCATATGGCTTGCCTGAGGGCTAACACATTCCCTATGCCTGTCTTTTCTTCTATGAAGGCTTAACTCCTTTGTATTTTAAGTGTATGTCTCTATACTAAACTATTCTCTCTCGGAGGGCAGGAACTTTGCACGTTCATCTTGGTGCCCAGTACTTAACTTTCCCCTGACTAGTGGTAAAGGTCTGGCATACGCTTGTCAAATCCTCATGCACTTCCTTCCACTGAAAAAGACTTCTGAAGTCCTTCTCCCAGAAAGGAGCCTGAAGAACTAGCTCAACACATGTCAATACTGAACTGTCAACAATACTTTCTCCTAGAGACAGTTCTTAGGTAATAGAACAATTCTTCTAGTCTAAAGTGCATTTAGCACACACAGGTTCCCAGCCAGATTTGTCTTCATCATGTTTTGTTCTCTCTTTCAACAACTATTTGTTGACTGCTGAGCACTAAGGATACAGTAATTTTTAGAATTTGGCATCATTTTTCAAAAAACTAAATTAAGGAAAAACAAACAGCTGGTGAACTCATAAGTAGACCCTCACTAAATTTGTGTTCCATTTGTTATTTTGTTATAGGTTATGCTATGATTTCCCTTTGTTACATGGAGAGAAGTTTTTATCTGGACAAAATTTAAATAAGAAAAGAAGACTTTTAGTCTGCTTCAAGTAGTTTTACATAGTTATAATTTTATTTTATAAATGTATAAAATATACATATTTCAAAATAATCAGCATTTTTCACAATAGAACAGGTACTTAAATTACTTTTATGTTTATGGAAGTGGGCCTAAGAGGAGCTCTTCTCTTTTTTAAGTCTCTGTTACTACTACATAAAATATAAAGTAATATCATTTTATGTTCTTTTTTTTTTTTTTTTTTTTTTTTTCCATTTTATTTTTTTTTTTTTTTTTTGTGGAGTGTCTGTTTTTTGTCTGACTCTTGATGTCAGTTCAGGTCTTTATTTCAGGGTCATGAGTCTGAGCCTCGCCTCGCTCCACATCTAGTGTGGAGCCTCCCTGACAAAAAAAATTTTTTTAGTAAGATAAATTGGTAGGTTAACTACACNTTTTTTAAGTCTCTGTTACTACTACATAAAATATAAAGTATTTTTTTTTTTTTTTTTTTTTTTTTTTTTTTTTTTTTTTTTCCATTTTATGTTCTTAAAGTAAGTTAGTGGAGTGTCTGTTAAGCGTCTGACTCTTGATGTCAGTTCAGGTCTTGATTTCAGGGTCATGAGTCTGAGCCTCGCCTCGCTCCACATCTAGTGTGGAGCCTCCCTGACAAAAAAAATTTTTTTAGTAAGATAAATTGGTAGGTTAACTACACTCCTGTCTCCCTCTCAGCCAGTCTTGAAGACAGTGGGGTATTAGTCGCAGCCAGAACAAGGAGATACTCTTTGCCCTGAGATCCAGCCAGGGTATCGCTAGAACTCTCAGCTGCTTTCTTTCCTAAAACCAAGTTCAGATGTGATTCAGGACTGCTACTGACCATATGCATGCCAAGTCCTTGGCTTCATGGATTTAGTACAGAAACATTCTAATTTCACCACCAGCTACTTAATAAATGAAACCAATTTTCATCATTTTAAAAAAACCTCAATCCCTTAGGGCACCTGGGTGGCTCAGTTGGTTAAGCATCCGACTCTTGATTTCAGCTCAGGTCATGATCTCACGGTTTGTCAGTTCGAGCCGCACATGAGGCTCTGTGCTGACAATCTGGAGTCTGCTTGGAATTCTGTCTCCCTCTCTCTCTGCCCCTCCCCTGCTTGCTGGATCTCTCTCAAAAACAAATAAACATTTAAAAAAAAGGGGAGGGGGAACCTCAATCCCAGTTCTCTTAGTGTCCAATGCAACACAAAAAGCTTTCCTTACTGGGCAAACATCTTTAAGTTTTAATTTCCTAAATTAAGAACTTAAGATATATATGAAAACAGTTCACTTTCTCAAAGTGAAATTATATACAAGATTCAAAATTATATGAATTCAGGCAATTGAAACATAATGAGATAATTACTTCCTTTCAGATGTTAAATATAAAGAAAACCTGTACTCTCCCAAAATAAGATGCAATTATTTGTTACAATAGAATCCACCTATCTATTCAATGTTGTTCAATTATGGATTTAGGTACAATGCATTTTTTTTTTCTTAGTGAGTCACATCTCAAAATATTCTTGGCCTCCTACCAAGAGTAGAACAGAGATTTCGACCAATACATACCATTTTTAATTAATGGGCAAACATTCCCCAGAGAGAAAACTTAGAGTTTAGACCAAGTTGAAAGTAGTCTTCACTACATTAATGAAAATGGTGTTATTTTGTTGCTGTTAAAAAGCTACCAGAAAACACACCAGCCATCAGAATTCAGCGATTTACTCTGATTTTTTAGAGCAGGGTTAGCAACAGGGCACTGAAGATGCTTTGAGGGACAGTCAGTGACAAGCGGCATGAAATTTGCTTCTAGAATATCCAAATTCCTTTGCTTCCCCGCAACGGGAATGCAGAAAGCGGTGGAAGGACTCACCACACTGTCAGTCTGTGTTTTAGGCTGTTTGGAGGAATCCAAAGCAAAGATAGTATACTCAGAGAGAAAAGCAGGCTCTGCTATCATCCCGGCTAGTAGCTGTCTCATTCAGTGTAATAAGCAGAGGTACAAAAATAAAACAAATAATAAAAATAAATCATGAGGGCATGTTGCAAAGTGTTCTCACCACGCAGCATGCACAACACTATGATGGCCTACACCACCACCGCCACCATCTCTCCACCCACAGAGATAGCAAGTTGCTGGACAGATCAGGAACAGAGAGGAGTTGAGCTCTTTAGAATCTCAAAGCCCAACTTTCACCAACTTGCTTACTGGCATACAAATGATATATGCAACAGCCACCACGGCACACAGCAAGTCTGCCAATTTGGTATAAGAGTCCATACCAATAAGAACCACACATGGTAAAGAACACAAAGCCTTAATATAACAAATATTGACCATGTTTATACATTCAAAAAGACAGCACTGAAATCCTGGGGGAGGACAAAACACGTAACATTTTAAATAAACATTTATTTTGTACTTAGAAACAAAAATATGTACAGAAAGTTTTGAAACTGAAATTAATATAAGTTTTAAGGACAAATTCTATTATACTATTTCTTTTACACTTGATCTTAGCCAAAAGGCCAAAAGCAATTATTGTACTAATTCTTTTAATGTGTATACTCTTCTGTCCTCAGTCTTCTTTCAGAAGCTGTATACTATACACCAAAATATTAATAACCATGAATTAGATCAGAAAAAATTACAATTAAAATGAACTTTGAAATGTAAAACTGGTGAAATCTGAATAATCTCTGTGGATGCCACATAGTTTACCAATGTCAATTCCCTCATTTTGATAGTGTACCATAGTTATACAAGATGTTATCTTTGAGAGAAAATGGGCTTAAAAAAAAAAAGGTACACAGGGCCTCCCTAAAAAAATCTTTATAACCTCCTGTGAATCTATGTTTATCTCAAAATAAAAACTAAAAAAAAAAACAAAAAAACAAATCTTTTGCAACATCAACTGGGCAGTTAATGTATATTACTGTTACATATTATATGTAATAAAGGAATTAACAGAAAATAAACGTCTACACAAGCTTAAGAACTTAAGACTTTTCATCTCAGTATTGTAGAGTTATGGATACTCTACTCAGGGCCTAAAAGTTGAGTATTAGTGGTATTCTAAAATATACTAGATGCCTGTTTAGCTCTGGGCACTCATCTTACTGAAGTTTCTACTCTTGCTAAAAATCTGAATTCTCCTGGGAACTCAGAAAGGTCATCCTTGAAATGGATTTTAGGTTAAAGGCTATACAAATTCACTCTTCTTAGCCTCCCCAAATTAATGTTTGAACTGAAGTCACTCTGGCCAACACAACAGAATAATTTAAAATTTCACAGTTAAGCAATCCCTATCAAAATAACATCAGTATTCTTCATAGAACTAGAACAAACTATCCTAAAATTTGTATGGAGCCACAAAAGACCCCGAATAGCCAAAGCAATCTTGAAAAAGAAAACCAAAGCTGGAGGCATCACAATCCCAGATTTCAAGATGTATTACAAAGCTGAATTCATCAAGACAGTATGGTACTGGGACAAAAACAGCCATTCAGATCAGTGGAACAGAAAAGAGAACCCAGAGATGGACCCACAAACATTTGGCCAACTTATTGGGACAAAGTAGGAAAGAGTATCCAATGGAATAAAAACAGTCTCTTCAGCAAGGGGTGCTGAGAAAACTGGAGAGCGACATGCAGAAAAATGAACCTAGACCACTTTCTTACAGCATACACAAAAATAAACTCAAAATGGATGAAAGACCTAGATGTAAGATGACAGGAAGCCATCAAAATCCTAGAGGAGAAAGTAGGCAAAAACCTCTTTGACCGCGACCGCAGTAACTTCTTACTCAACATGTTTCCAGAGGCAAGGGAAACAAAAGCAAAAATGAACTATTGGGACCTCATCAAAATAAAAAGCTTCTACACAGCGAAGGATACCATCAGCAAAACTAAAAGGCAACCGCTGGAATGGGAGAAGATATTTGCAAATGACATATCAGGTAAAGGGTTAGTGTCCAAAATCTATAAAGAACTTACCAAACTCTACACCCAAAAATCAAATAATCTATTGAAAAAATGGGCAAAAGACATGAACAGACACTTTTCCAAAGACACCCAGATGGCAAACAGACACATGAAAAAAATGCTCAACATCAATCATCATTAGGGAAATACAAATTAAAACCACAATGAGTTACCACCTCGCTCCAATCAGAATGGCTAAAATAAACAACTCAGGCATCAACAGATGTTGCGAGGATGCAGAGAAAGAGGAACTCTTTAGCACTGTTGGTGGAAATGCAAACTGGTACAGCCGCTCTGAAAAACAGTATGGAGGTTCCTCAAAAAATGAAAAATAGAACTACCCTATGACCCAGCCTGACTAGGTATTTATCCAAAGGATACTGGTGTGCTGTTTTGAAGGAGCACATGCACCCCGAAATTTACAGCAGCACTATCAGGAAGAGCAAAAGTACGGAAAGAGCCCAAGTGTCCATCAACAGATGAATGGATAAAGAAGATGTGGTATGTATATACAATAGAGTACACAGCAATCAAAAAGAATGAAATCTTGCCATTTGCAACTACGTGGATGGAACTAGAGGGTATTATGCTAAGCAAAATTAGTCAGAGAAAGACAAGTATCATATGACTTCACTCATATGAGGAATTTAAGATACAAAACAGATGAACATAAAGGAAGGGAAGCAGAAATAATATAAAAAAGGAGGGGGGGACAAAATATAAGAGACTCAAATATAGAGAACAAACAGAGGGTTGCTGGAGGTGTTGTGGGAGGGGGGTAGGCTAAATGGGTGAGGGATATTAAGGAATCTACTACTGAAATCACTGTTGCTATCTAACTTGGATGTATATTTAAAAATAAATAAAATAAATACTAATACTAATAAATAAATAAAATTTCACAGTTAAGAGTGTATTTGAAATTCTAGAAGAAAAACATAAAAGCTGATGCTCAGTATAGAAAAACATGTTGACCAAACATTTCAAAGGAAGGTACTACCAAGCAACGATTTATACTCATGCCTCTAGCCCAAGTAAAAGCCGAGTGTGGTTGCACATCTGACTTAATTACAGCTCAGGTCATGATCCCAGGGTGGTGGGATCAAGCCTACATCAGGCTCTATGCTGAGCATGGAGCCTGCTTGAGATTCTCTCTCCCTCTCTCTCTCTCTCTCTCTCTGTTTCTCTCCCCCCGGTGCCCCTCTCTCCTGCATACTCTCTAAAATAAATCTTTCAAAAAAGTTATTTTCCACTGACACTACCTCAAAACCTAAAGAGTTTTTCTCCCCACTTGCTATTCTTGTCACTTACTTCTTATCCCTATGAAAATCTTCTACATGTCAGTTCTCAAATATTCTCAATCAAATTCTGTCTCATTTCCATGTCTCTCAAACTCTGTTCAAATTCTAATCCAAATCTGTTAAGAACTTAATTTACTTCTTGTGTGGTCCTTAGGTTAAGCCATCCATTGAACTAACACTGACTGAAGTCCTATGTGTCTAAACATTTATGAAGGTACAAAAAACTCCCATCAGTTATCTGTTGAAGGCTTCTGATCTACCCTCCGTGTCTTTACTCTCATATATACTTTTCTTTATCTCTGTGTTTTTGATAGAATTACTTAGTATTCTTTTTGAATGCCCTAATTTTCCCATGAATTGGGACTTGTCTTTCATTCTGACTTATGCTTTCCTATCAATTTTTTTTCACTTCAAGGATTACTAACTGCTTCTTTTTCAGATCTACCTAATCTACTTTTGTTTAGGTCTGTTTTTTTCCCTGCAATTTTATTTTCTTTTTTCAGAAAATTATTACTTCATGTATCTTATTAAGGTACTTATCTTAATGTATTTTTTAGACTATTCTATTATTTTCATTTCATCTATAATAAATTTATATTCCAATCCTATTTATATTGCCAGCCTTCATAGCATTTGTTTCAGAATTTTCCTTTACAGGTTCATTTTGAGGAAGGTATTATCTTTCTCCTTCCATCTGTACTCATCTTTCCTTATCCAATCAATCTAATTCCCAGGGACTCAGTTTTGAGTTTCCTGCCCTCTGGCAATACAGGGGTTATCACAGACTCAGTCACAATAAGCCAATGTGAGGTTTGCTTCAGTTCTTGGTCATGAGGTCTCCCTAGAGACGGCAGCTTCTCATAATGGGCCACAGAGAGCTCTAGGCAGCAGTTAGCAAGAGTGTTTCTCAATTTCTTTCCGCTAGTGCTGAGAGCTCCGCTTTAGCTCCTGGCACTAAATCTAACTTCAGCAGTTAGATTTAACCCTCCCGGTCCTTCTGAACCAGAGTTCAAGGAGAAAATCAAGTCCTAATGCCTGCCCTAAGGCATCCACTAGCATCTGCTTTATGTAACAATTTAGCGTTATCTACTAGGAATGACTATATCTCCTATTAGAGGAAGGTCTCTAAAAAGTTTAGTAACTTAGTGTGTGCAGGTCGCTGTGCTTTGAAGACAAAAGTCCTGTTTCTATCTCCCTAGACACTGTTACATACAGATGTCAGTTGCAATACTATTAGGGTACATTAAACTCCTTCTGTTTTTATTTCCAACAATGTGTATTTTAAGAAGTACTTATGATAATATATTCTACTAAAGATAGAAGAATAAAATTGTTTACAGCATGTGGATAGCAGCAGCAGATGAGAAAATACTCAGTATAGACTATTTTGTCTATGTTCTAAAAGGCGGCCAGTTTAAAGGAAGGATCTAGAACTACCTCTGTTTGCAGATGACATGATCACGTACGTAGAAGATACTAAGTAATCCAGCAAATAACTATTAGAATCTAATAATCGAGTTCAGAAAAGTTGCAGGATACAAAATCAATTGACAAAAATCAATTTAATTTCTACAGAGTAGCAATGAGAAAACAAAAAATGAAATTAGAAAAACAGTTACATTTACAGTAGCATCCAAAAGAATAAAATACTTGTGAATAAATTTAACAAAAGTAGTATAAACCTTAT